CCCCCCGAGTCTGGCCAACTCTGGCACCAAAGATTCATACCAAGATTCTAAAACTATCTTCTTCTTCTTTTTGGTCGAAGCAAACCCCTAAAGGGGTAGAGAACAGTACAAACAGAGCCGAGCAAAAGCATCAGCCAGGAAACTAACAGAACAAGCAGGAACAAATCTAGCTAAAACCAGTACAGTATAGCATGAAGATCATGTTCCTGAGCCAAAAACTAAACCGTCAAAAGCCAACAAAAAGGCATGTAGCCCACATAAAGGCATATAGCCCACAAAGAGGCATTACGCCCACATTCAACATAACATACGTAAAATAAAACACCGTAAACCTAGCCGCCACAACCAAAGAGAACCTCCAAGCCGCCACCACCAGCAAAGAGAGATTCCACGACTGTAGATAGACAAACCACCAATCACCACCATGAAGAACCGAACACCCGTAGGTCAGCAAACCAAGCCAAACATCCCTCAAAACATAGCCCCCCGAGATTCACTAACAGATCTAGAGTTAACCCAACCAATACATCCAAAGGACAGCAGCCAACAAATAGAGAATGAGAAAACTCATTCCACAGCCAAGAGGGAAAGAACCAAGAACCTGGAAGGAGGTGGTGCAAGCACCCGAGCTGGATGTGATCAGAGCTTGCTTAGATGTGTATCAATTCCCCCACAACACCCATCAACCAAAACAATGTAGACAAATACCTGATGATCAGTAATCATTTACCTATGTTAGGAAAAAATAGTACAAAACAATTTGGACAACGTGGTTGTTTTGTGTATTTCACTTAAGAATAAGATGTTCAAAATAAAAAGAAAAAATGCGTCTGCCGGGAGTCGAACCCGGGTCTATTGCTTGGAAGGCAATTATCCTAACCGTTGGACTACAAACGCAGATGATATCAAAGCATCTAGAATACATTTATAACTGAAAAGCAGAATGCCAGGAAAAAGAAAAAAAAAAGAAATTTTATGATGCTGCCTAGTGCCACAGAGAGTCTATACAAACTCTATTTCATTCTGTGTCTCGGCGTGTATCTGAAACTGCAGCAATGGAGTCCATTTCTCTGACGCATGCAATCTCTGCAACAAATCACAGCTTTCGATGGAGAAGAAAAAGGAACCCAGAAAAGCCATTTCACACGCAAAGGTTTCACCTTCACAAACCAACTGGGCGACTTCAGAAAATCCATTCCAAACACTCGGATTTCCAAGGTACGCCCATCCAATCCCTTGCCACTTGCTTGGGATTCCTTCATTTGAAGAAAGATAACTTCTTTATTTGGTGTCTGAGAAAACCCAGGAAATAGTTATGAAGAAGGATTGAAAAAACCCTTCTATATTCTGCTCTGTTGCTTTTTGGCACTGGCGCTAATAATTTCTTTGCGTTTTTCGAATTTAAAGACAAAGATAGTTGAAAGCTTATGTGCCATGATTTTATTATTATGATTTTGGCCTGCTCTTTAAGTAATTTACCCCTTCTGTCAGACGTGTACTCATCATTTCAAAACTTTCAACTAGCATATTTTATTTTCTTAGGAAGCTGAATCATATATATAAGCGTTTGTCTGTGTGTGTGTGTGTGTGTGTGTGTGTGTGTGAGAGAGAGAGAGAGAGAGAGAGAGAGAGAGAGAGAGAGAGAGAGAGAGAGAGAGAGAGAGAGAGAGAGAGAGAGAGAGAGAGAGAGAGAGAGAGAGAGAGAGAGAGAGAGAGAGAGAGAGAGAGAGAGAGAGAGAGAGAGAGAGAGAGAGAGAGAGAGAGAGAGAGAGAGAGAGAGAGAGAGAGAGAGAGAGAGAGAGAGAGAGAGAGAGAGAGAGAGAGAGAGAGAGAGAGAGAGAGAGAGAGAGAGAGAGAGAGAGAGAGAGAGAGAGAGAGAGAGAGAGAGAGAGAGAGAGAGAGAGAGAGAGAGAGAGAGAGAGAGAGAGAGAGAGAGAGAGAGAGAGAGAGAGAGAGAGAGAGAGAGAGAGAGAGAGAGAGAGAGAGAGAGAGAGAGAGAGAGAGAGAGAGAGAGAGAGAGAGAGAGAGAGAGAGAGAGAGAGAGAGAGAGAGAGAGAGAGAGAGAGAGAGAGAGAGAGAGAGAGAGAGAGAGAGAGAGAGAGAGAGAGAGAGATTAATCATAGGATAATAATTAACTCAAAGCTGGTTTCATTTTGGTTGTATCAAATCCATTACAAATAGAAGTTTGAATTATTGAATGCCTGTGAAATTTTGAAGTAATTAACTTTCGTCAAATATGTACCTATCTTTGGTTTTTCAAATAATCAAATGACATTGGAGGAGAGGGAATACAAACTTGGTACCTCGGATGGATGTAGGTTTGTAAGCTACTTGCTCCCACTATGGACAGGTTTCATGAATACAAGTGGCAAGTTTCATGTATGTAGGCATAAATGTTGTAAATTTCTCACCAGTGTGGCCGGCTAACTGCATACATCGTTTGTTTTCTATATGTTTCCACATTAGATTCTATTAATTTTTCAGTAAGCTAAAAGTTCTCCCTTTTTTTCTTTAGATTTAAAGGGCTATGCAAAGCCTTCACGTCTCTTGCCAGCTACAGAAGTGAAAGTCTGCACAGATAACTCAGTGGTAAAGGCTTTCTCATCTTTAAGTGATGATGGATCTCAGTCTCTATATAAAGTTAAGTTAGGTACTAGTAATGTTTATGGCTCAAGTCTCTCTGACTTGAATGCTGGAATCCTCCTGTGCGTGATAGACGAAAACGGTGACTCCATATTACAGAGGATGCCCTCAAGTTTGATAACAGATCATTCTACAGAGTCAGAGGATGGCATACTTCATTTTCAACGAGGTTCTGTTGATGAGTTCATCTTTGAGGGACCTAAACTTGGAAAAGTTGAAGCCGTTTGGATCAGTCTTGAATCAGGTAGTCTTTACTAGAATTAGTTTAGCATCTGGAGGCCAAGTATAAGGCTATAAGCTGCTGAACACTTTATAATAGCAGATTCACTATTTGTAGTCCTGTCTCTATATATATGCCTACTAGTTGAATTTCTGTAGAATCAGAAAGTGTGAACTTAAAAAACTGGCTTTACCCATGTTTGACCAAATCATGCTAACAATTGTTCTTTAAACTCTCCAAGGTCAGGCCAATGGAGGTTAGGAAGTGTGAGCTTGACCGTTATTTGTGGGCAACAAAGTTCTTTGGAGGAAAAAGATGGAGAAAAACTTCAGTATATTGGTTTCAATTACAAATTTGAGGTTGATGATATCTTGCTGGGGGAGGGAAGTGATAGTTCCATGGTGGAACTTAGACCTTGCCTTGTCACCAAGCTATCTGGGGTTGACCCTTTCACCATCTTCAATAAAAGCATCCCTGAATCAACTATGCTTGTGGGCCGTGGGATATCAAACGAGGAAACCATGAGAGAATATGAAGATTTGAAGTTATCTTTGCTACTTTATGATGCCATGCTGATCTTTGTTGGTACATCAGTCGCATCCTTCTCAGTGGGGGAAGATGTGAGTTTTGCGTTTTTAACTGGTGGCATTGGCGGCTTCTTGTATCTGCTGCTACTGCAACGGTCTGTTGATGGATTACCTGCTCCAGAATTGACTTCCGGTAACACAGGAAGGTCCAACCAAATCTTTGGAGGATCAAAGGGCCGAATATTTGGCCTTGCATTGGCAATTGGTTTTGCTTTATTCACAGTGAAGTATGGCTCGGGGGATGCCCCCATGGAATTCACACCTAAGGAACTCATGGCTGGGATGATCGGATTTCTTGCATGTAAAGTTGCTGTGGTGTTGGCAGCAGTTAAGCCCATGCGAATTAGTCTAAAGATAAACGAGTGATATATCATCTCTGTTTCCACTTTGAGGAAGAACGAGAGGTGAAAAGATTTACAAACTTGTATAGGACCTTCAATGGAGACAATCCAGCTGTATTGTATATTTTAGGAAAAAGAGCTGCAGATTATTACACTCAAGTTACACATCATTAAAGTTAATAGAACCAAAATTGTTCTGTTCTTAGAATTCCCTGTTGAACTCTTTTTTTACCCACTTGTTTTCATCTGGCCAACGTTAAGTTGCTCGATCGGTACATCAAATATAAAAACAAACTTGTTTCTTCTGACAAAAGAAGTGAAAACATGTATGGAAACACGTTGTTCTCCATGTCAATATTAAGTTAATAAAGATGCACATGCATGGAAGATGTGTTCCATTTGTCAAAGATTGCATTATTTTTTTAACATAGTTATTTTATATGTTACTTCATCAGCATACAACAGCGCTGTTATGCATCAACTTCTTGCTTTAATTTATCTTCATTGTGTCCCCTCCTCTCCACCCCCAGAAAATTCTGGATCAGCTCATGCCATTTCATGAGCAAATAATACTTTGATATTGGACAGATTTGAGATCCAACATTATTTTATATATGATCTTTCCAAATTCCAATATATGTGCTCCCCAAAAAGAATACATATTGTTGTGGAACCTTTGCTGCCATGGCCATGACAGCAAGGCCAGCCCATGGTTGTTCCCCCCTCCTCTAGCTAGCAAAAAATTATTAGTGCTCTGTTTCAGTTGTCAACAAAAGTGGAGAAAAATTGAATGCTAGATTTGAAATATGAAAATATTATGTATCTGTTTTGCAACGACTTTGAAATGAAAGCCCTGCATCTTGACTTCTGAAATCCTAAGATGATCTGCAATTCAATCTTCCCCAATGCAAAGTTATAAGTGTTATATCTCATGTCAATAACTGGCGAAAAGAAAGAACTACATGGTCAATTTTGTCACTTCTCCACTATTTTTTTTTTTGGCCAAGTTAAGAGGGGGGAACTCACACACACGCGTACCATGAGAGTTCGAATCCAGGACCACTTGGAGCACACCAAAGCCCGGGCCAATCCAATTAACACCCCATTGGCCAAACCTATCATTGTTTTTTAGCTCCAATGTCAGGAGGTGTTTAGCCCTTATAATTAAGTATTTTCCACGCCTACTTTAGCATAATTTTCATACAAAATGACAACAATTTAATCTGTTTCATCATTGTTTTTTACACATGTTTATTTAACTAGTGTGGGAATCTCTTCCACATAAGCACCCTAAATCTAAACATCACTCCAGGACAAAACACCAAAAAAAGCACCAAGGAGATTAAAGGGGTATCTTATGCTGATGAAGATTCTATTATGAGATTACACAACAAGACAGTCTGCAACAATGCTTGGGTAGATAAGCTTAAAGACAACACTTCCACTTTGTAAAACACGTCACTTCCTCACACCCAACAAGGTTTTTGTATTCAAGTTATGTTTGTTAGTTGACACTGTATTATCTACCATAAGTTTTTATTTTAAACCAGAAAGAAGTAAAGCTTATCAGAAACATATTTTGGCCTTTCAAAATTAACATATAAAAAAAAGTAACATTTGTAAATAAATTGAGGTAAAAAAGTCTTGAACATAATATCCAAGGCCGTTGCACTAGTGGGCCAGACCTGCATAACAGTCAACAAAGTACATCCAAATCTCCTAGCTACAGTAGGATACCACATGAAAGAGAGAGGTATTTAAATGCAGAGGAGGTGTTCATATATTGTCATTTCATATTTTCAATCTTTCTTTGTAGAACATTTTTTTTTTGGGGTAAAGAAGTAAAAGAATTGCCAAATGTGTTCAACATTTTCCCTTGCAGCAAAGACTTACATTGGAGAGAGCAATGGAAATTTTCGACATCGAAAATCCATGGTCACAGCAACAAGAGCTGAAGTGATTACAGCTCCCAAGCAAAGAAGCAGACCTGTTTTTCCTGAGTTATCAATACAAGGCATTCCTATTGCTGATTTACATGTACAAGAAATTGTTCAAAGGCAGTCTCAGACTTATAGCATGGACAGAGAAGGCGGCCGCAGAAAGCCACAGTTCTGTCCTAGTTTTCTTGAAGAAGCATATGATAGGTGCAGGAACATTTGTGCAGAATATGCCAAGACATTCTATCTAGGTCCAACTTCATTACCCTTCTTTTTTCCTCCCAACAAATTTTTTAAACTGCATTCTAATTAGTGATCACTTTTTTCATGAATATGAGATTCAATTCTGGTGCACTCTCTTGATGCAGGCACTTTACTAATGACAGAGGAGCGTCAAAAGGCAATATGGGCAATCTATGGTAAGAATTATAACTTCAAGTTCATATATAGTAGCAAGTGTTGGAAGAAAAATCATGTTCATAAATCAAGATAAAAGGGGAAGTTAATATGTTTGTAATGTAAATAAGCAACTATAAGTTTAATCTTTTGGAAATGGAATGCAGTTTGGTGTAGAAGAACAGATGAACTGGTGGATGGCCCCAATTCTGTCTACATGAGCTCTGAAGTTCTTGATAGATGGGAAGAGAGGCTGCAAGACATTTTTGAAGGACGGCCTTACGACATGCTAGATGCTGCATTAACACACACAGTTTTCAGTTTCCCCTTAGACATCAAGGTGGGTGCATAGAGAATATCCCATTAAATTCATGAAAATGATTCCTTGTAAAATTGGTGGCAGCCATTTTCATCTGATAGAATATCCTTGTTGTGACCAAAGCCTTTCAGGGACATGATCGAGGGTATGAGAATGGACACAAGAAAATGTCGCTACCAGAATTTTCAAGAGCTTTATCTTTACTGCTACTACGTGGCAGGGACGGTCGGCCTAATGAGTGTTCCTGTAATGGGAATTGCACCAGATTCTCTGATTTCTGCTCAAAGCACATATGATGCTGCACTAAATTTGGGCATAGGAAATCAACTCACAAACATCCTTAGAGATGTTGGGGAGGAGTAGGTTTCTTTAACATGTACTAATTGATCATTTTCAGTTTCTTCATTCACTTTGTCTCTCTGATCAATTTTTTCTGTTGTTCTTTTGTTCTAGTGCTATGAGAGGGAGAGTTTATCTTCCCCAAGATGAGCTAGCACAGTTCGGGTTAGGCGATAACGATGTTTTCTCAAGAAAGGTGACTAATCAGTGGAGAGAGTTCATGAAAGAACAGATTACAAGAGCAAGGTTCTATTTCAACCTGGCAGAGTCAGTGGGGAGAGTTCATGAAAGAACAGATTACAAGAGCAAGGTTCTATTTCAACCTGGCAGAGGAGGGAGCTTCTCAGCTTGACAAGGCTAGCCGTTGGCCGGTATATACCTCCTCCTTCCATAGTTATATTATTTTAATCATCTTGCGTAGCAGTTGAAGGTTGAATTCAATTACCTAGAACCAAGGTGTGGATCATTTCAGAGACTAGAAAACAAACCATTCCACTTAAAAGAAAACATCAACTAATAGAATACACAAACACAAACAACAAAAACGAATGTGTTGTTGTTTTGCCTGTTTGACGTTTATATATGCTGCTTTCAACTTGTGTGGGTTGCAAAACATAGTGTATCCATCAACAAAGAAAAGTTTATTATTCTGATGATGATGATGATGATGATGTACTTTTGTTTTGCAGGTATGGTCATCACTATTGATTTATCGTAACATCTTGGATGCGATCGAGGATAACGATTACGATAACTTGACAAAGAGAGCATATGTAAGGAGAGCTAAGAAACTTCTCATGTTGCCTCTGGCATACTCAAGATCTCTGTCAACACGTAGCTAGCTCTCTCAGCAGCACAAGAACGTAACAAGTACAAAATCGTTTTGATAAAGAAATATGTTTTGCGTGTAACAGAGCTCTGTGTAAATTCTGTACATGTTTACTGTTTAAAGATGTTAACACATTCCTTATTAATGTTAGCACATCTATCTCATTTTCAACTTTATAATTGTTATTTTACTCTATCTATATCTAATGGAAAGCACATCTTTAATGGGCAACAAGATTAAGATGCTTGTAGTGGTCCAAATGGCGGTCCTAAGGCAGACAATTCAGAATCTTAAATGGAGTAGGCCAGACTGGCTCAAAAAATATGAGGTGTTTGTATGATACAATACTGAAAGTGGAACAAACTGCCACATGCAATTGAACTTGAGAAAAGTGAAATGTAATGGTTTGTGTGAAAGAGAAAAATGGGAGAAAACTGCCAGACTATAAATTGAATTAGACTATGGGAAAAAAAATTAAAATTAAAAAATAAACCTATTGGAGAACATTGTATTCATTACTAAGGGGAAAAAATAATAAAAGCACCCATTATAGGAAGTGAGCTCATCATCCCTCTACAGATCACCAACCCCCAAAAATACCATCCTTCTACAGAAAAATTAATTAATTTTTTTAAAAAAAAGTAGAGAAGAAAAATCAGAACAGACGATGCCACATTGTTTGCTGGAAATGGTACATATGCTGCAACAGTGTCACCACCTCGGATGCTTCCTTTTGCAGAGACTCGAGCACAATCCAAGGAACCCTCACCTGCCAATCTTACACGATTTTCCGCAACCGACCACCACTATTGTGAAACTATAATCTTAGAGTTAACTAGAGCCCTCGATACATAAACCTTCTACCAGGCAACCACAGCAGGTAATTCAGCAACTGATTTGGCAGTTTCTTTATAGGAAGTAATCAGGTGTTCTTCGGGTCACATCTGGCTCTCCCCTCCTTGGAGCTGGCTCAAACTGTAATACATCAACCCCAATGTTTAATCATTCTATAAATTATAACATATCATTTATATTCTAGTGTCAGAGTTTGTGAGTGTGGATAGGGGGCAGAGAGGGGAGGGAGAAAAGAGGGACTAACCTGAATGAATGTGTGACCTTTGCAGTCATCGACTTCAAGGATGGATGCCATATTTCCACAGCGATAACAATAGTTGGGTGCACTAAATATAGTGACGACTTTTTGTTCCTGCCATAAAATAAACAAACTAATTACACAAACTTTCCTTCTCAAAATAAACCATCAGCCAATACAACCACAAAATTAGGGTAAAATACTCACATGACCCCAGTTATATCCTTCCATGACCAGCTGATGTGCTCTAGCAATCAACTTTAAGTTATTTGTGTGATTGAACTGCTCAGATATGTCCTGTTAAAGCGACAAAAGGAAGCAGATCAGCAAAGTCCGGCGGGACTGTAGAGGGCCGGTCAACTGAATTTCAAACCATCAACCCCAATAAGGAAAAAAATGAGCAGATAAACTACCTGGCCAAAAGTATATCCAGCACCCCTGGGAGAGATACCCCAACCACAGCGATCATCAGGGTCAGACCATAGAAGATCGCACATGGGACCCTCGTGAGGAACCTCTTGTACACGGTCAAAATTACGTATATTATCAAGGGTTTCAATGGATGGAGACAGTCCACCATGCAGGCAGAAAATTTCAGATTCAACCTTTAACCAAATAAAAGAAAATATGTCAATATATGGGAAACTAATTAAACTATTTACCCGCACCTAAGTTTATCAACAAAAAATATATAATGAACGATTTCCTTAACTTCTTAACAGTATAAAAAATAAAATTATTGTGTACAAGAATAGATGGCAAACGTAGCCTAATTATCAACATGGTTGCCAATAGATTGGGGGTAAAACTCTACATATACATAAATCATTCTAACAAGTTGTTGATAAATTAAATTGTGAAGTATAAGCTTTCAAATTCAGCAACATGCAAAGAAACCAGACCGCAAACAAATAAAATCAACTTCTAACCATTGCAAAGTAATTTTCGACCATTGCAAAGCGACTAACGCCTACAACAGCTACGGCCACATTATTAAGGGTTGTGTCACAGGCTAGATTTGGTGATATACAAAATATGGCACAAAAGATGCAAAGTAGTTCAACGTGACAAGTTGTGGTAAAAGTAATAGCAGTTTGCACTCAAGCTGATGTTGCAACATGGTTGACAAAGGTAAGAAATTAGAAAATGCATTAGAGGGACTCTTGCAATTGAACTGGTAGCAATGAAATAGAAGGTTTCACCCAAAAATGAAAATCTTCAACCAATAAAAATAACAAGAATGTTCACGGTTGTGTACTGCTAACCTAAACAACTGACCTACATTGACCATTTAAGCGTCATAAATATGTCATGTATAACTATACTAACCAATGCTGTCAGAGGGAAATAGTCAAATAAATCTGTAAAGATCTTCCAAACATTGGCATTACCATACCTGCAAATAGAAGAAGAACGGGTTACCTTCACAAGCTTGACAAATAAGATACATACAATTGAGAAGGACAAGGGAAGTGTGAAGCAGAAAAATGCACACTAGTTGACTGATCAACAGTCAACTTCAAAGGCATAAGAGATTAATCCGGAGCAACAGTAAGTTAAATTTTTTTAAGGTAATGTACATCTAAAATATTATTGAATTCATACACTGCAAAAACTGATTCATATTATAGAGTTTTAATAACTTTCAAGTATATTCAACTTGACACGATACACCTGAATCAGTAAAAGAGTATGATCATGAAGAAATCAATAATAAGCATACTGAAAAGCCAGCCCATAAATGCGAATATGATAAGTGAACAATATGATATATGGTTGATTATGGAAATGAAAAGAAGCACAGAAAGGCTAGAGAGCACAAATTAGCATGATAGCAATTTCAGCTATGAACATACTATATGAAGATGAGTTCACCGGTATATATACTACGTGCCTGCATATACATACACAAAACAGGGCTTACCAGTCACTGAAACAACCCTTGGTTAAAAACTAAAGGGCAATCTCGTCATAAAATAATTTAAGTTTTGCTTCCCTTAATCCACACTGACTTCTAAAGTATAATGAAAATTTTCCAAACAAAAGTACATGAAAAAGAACACCTTTACATGTATATACTTTTTAGACCTGAACCTAGGCGAATGGAAAACAGAGTCCTTGGAGAAGTCACAAACCATACAAATATCTCAATTGTATCAAAATTGACCCCACAAAACAAGAGATGTTAAGAAACTCACTTCCGTAGGCACTCATCATAAAAACCATAAACTTGAGTAATCTGCACGGGGAAACATAAAGCCATAATCAACATGCACAGTTCCCTTCGGAAAATGAGAATCCTATTTTGATAAATTAAAAACCAAGCATGTAAATCCTACCAAACTGATATGAACAATAATGCCATATTTAATGCAGGGAGAGAAAAAGAGACAGAAGAGAAAGTATACCTGACGGCTTTCATGATTTCCTCTTAGGATAGTAATACGTTGAGGATAACGCACCTTCAAGGCAACCAAGAGCTGAATAAAAAGATAAAGAAGTTATGATAGACATAAACAGATGTGAAAAAGCAAGATGACACATCGTTGAAAATGGAAATTCCCATTATAAGAACATTATGTTTCTTAAGTGCAATCCAATTCAAGTCCAGTCTCATTGTCTTTATATGTATTACACACTTTTCCAGTCCCCCTGAAACATATAAACTAGGGTGTTCATAGATCGAGACAAAACAGGTTTGGAGTATTTTTCTATCCGACCCAACCTTCTGTCAAGTTTTAAACCATACAAACCAAAATGGAGGACAATGATCTTGACATGTTCAAACTTGGAATCCAGGAAGCTCTGAAGTATAAGGCTACTAACGCAACACATAGCTCATGCTCAACATATATCCAACTCTCCTAAAGTAAAATTTGAAGGTCTTAATAACTGTAATTTAATTTGTTATAGTGAACAAAACCACAAAAATTTAACCAAATTCTTGTCCAAGAGTTTCCAAAATATCTTCATATGTTAGTGCCAACATGAGGAGAACCCCAAAATTACAACTAAACTTATTGAATGATAAAAAGCAGAAATAAAAACACTAATACTTACTGTCACTGTTTCAACTGAATAATAGCCACGATCCACATAATCTCCCATAAACAAATAATTCGTATCTGGACACTACAAACAGAAAACATCACACATAAAGATCAGTCAGATAACAATACAAGGCTGATTATCCCTCACGCTTACACTTACACTTGATTCACTGCTTCTCAGTGAACCTCATAAACACTTTTAGAGTAAATGAAATAGACTAATCACAAAATATATCATTACAAACTCATACGTACAGAAATTACAGAACATATGATTCTTAAAATCATAACACTTCCATTAAAAAGTCCAGAACTTACATTAAGTAGAACTAAATAGCTCAAATCAGAACAAATACCTTTCCTCCAATGCGGAAAAGCTCCGCAAGATCATGGAATTGTCCATGAATATCACCACAAATAGTTACAGGGCTTTTCACAGGCTGCAACACATAAAAACCAAAATGATTATTTGTACCTCAAAACATGTCAATATTATTATAAGCTCAAAACCTGTATGATGTAATAAAAAGAAAGATGTGAATGAACCGCCAAAATGCAAAAGAGAGAAAAGAAAGAAAGGAAATACAGTTATCTTTAACACAATACCCTTTTATTATAACAAATAAAACCTAACTATTCTGCTAAGGATTCACATCAATAAAATTAATTAAAACCTTTTATTCCAAAACTGTTCAGCTTTTGAATCTCTCCCTCCAAATTCCTCCCTTTCTTTCCTTAACAAACTCACCATCAAAGGACAAGTATAACTCCTCCTCACCAAAACCCCGTTCTCACCATTTACTTGCTATTCATGCAAACCTTGATAACAACACATAAGGGTATCTCTCATATCAAACCCCCGAACAAAATGTACTTGTGACTTGTTACGTGCATGATTTAAGCAACTTAATGCATAAGTTAACAATATTAATCAATATTCTTCAGGGAAATTATACACATGGAATTAAAATTAATGAATTCACTAAAAGGCCCACCTGGACATTGCTTTCTTCCATTAATATCTCCTTGGCCTTCTCACAGAGCCCCCTTACCTATATTAAACAAATCAAGTTGACAATTACTTTAGAACATTGAAGGATGAAGAGGCCTATATGCTTAAAGAAACTCCAAAAACACAATAATAAGATAAGGTCTTTCAACAAATATTAAGCTGGACAACTGAGCAAGCAATAAAGAGAATTGTTGTCCACTAAGATAACTATCACAATGCTCCGGCAAAACCAAAAATGAAAGCTTAAATATAAACAATCTAATCTAATGGAGGGTGGTGAAAATTATCTTTATCCAAACTTACAAAACATGTGCATGACATTAAAACAGATATAAGCTCCTGAAAGTAATAGGCAGTCCTCATGAAGATGGTATCACTGTCATCACACACTAACAAATAAAGCAAATAAGACTGGTGTAACATGAAAAATAGCCAATGTTCTGAAATCCAAGAAGCAATCCAACAATCTATGCAAGCATATACCCACACAGCCCTCCCTTCCTCCCTCCCCAAGAAAACTGGGTAAATCAATGGTTATATGCATGGATGCATAGATATATTACTTTAAAATTCCTAACTAAAAGCAGAAAAAAAATACAAATAGCATGTACATTATCTAGCAAAGGTGTATAGCTTTTCCTCCAAGTATGCAATAGAAACTTAGGAGGTTTAAAACAATTGATCTCAGTAGTTTCTGAAATGAGGAAGATGTCATTATAGCTCCTGAACAATTTGTTACAATATTTTATGTAACAAACACTGTAACCATTTAGCCAAAACCATACTCAGCATATTGCACTCCAAGAAGCCTTTGTTAATCATAAATCCGTAAAGGTTTCTAAATCTGTTGAAAGATTCGGATTTGAAGGCCTTGACACTCAATTTTTATTTTCCTGTTCATGAACCCATGTGCTGAAACGCTATCACGGGAAAGGGGATCTGACCCACATTGCCGACAAAGAACCCAAGTCTAACAGCAGAATAAATCAGTGCGACCAAGAATTTCATCCATTTCTTTAGACTATCCATTTCGGTAGCAAATCTTATATTAGGGAAAATACATATCAGTGAATAAGCAAAACCTCCAATGGATCCCCAAGATATAAGGAATCACAGCCCTAGATCGGTCCCAAGAGAACCCTAGTTGAGCTAAATTCAAAGATCACGCCCAAAGTTGCAAACAAAGAAATGCACGAGATTTCTCGATCTGGCCCACTCAAGCCTTAACATTTCAGAATCCGATCCGTCTCATTTTCCAAAATTTAGCACAAAATCCCCGCACAATAACATTCAAATCAATATATATATATATATAGAAAGAAAGAAAAGAACAGAAATGGCAACGGACTGAAATGATGAATATAGTGAATAGCAATAACGGAGGTACCTCTGGTTCGGACAAGGGCTTGCACTGCATGAGCTGGGCAATCTGCTCATCCAGGTTCCCATGTGAGTTCGAAGGGACCGCATCCATCCTGTTCCTCCTTCACTTCCTCTTCCTGGAAACGCACCGTTTTTCACAGATCAAGATGCCCTCCGAATCCCAAACCCTGGATCTGTAGAAAACCCTAGATTTCTCCTCTTCTTCTTCTTCTTCGTTTTCTTCTTCGAACTTCCCAGAGAGAGAGAGAGAGAGAGAGAGAGAGCGGTGGTGGAGAAACCAAGGCTTTTTAGTTCTTTTGAATTTTTCTTTCTTTTTCTTTTTTCACTCTCTGGCACTCTCTTTTTGGATTTAATTTATATTTATATTTATATTTATATTTTGGTCTTGGGAGTTTAAAACGATAAATGGGATTGTAGATGTGCTACGCGCGTGGGATGATTGGACCAATGCATGGGCTTTGCCCCGCCGAGCGTGTGGGAGTTTTGATTGGGTGGGTTTGAAGGGTGCGTGAGAGAGACAAGGTTTATTTGTGTGGTGTTATTTAAGATTGTGGATCAACGCGAGTGTAAGATGTTTTTTCAACAAAGGGTTAATGACATAAATGGTCCCCAAATTATTGCTCCAATATCATTTTGGTTCATCGACTAAAATTTTCAATTCAAACATCCTTAAATTTTTTGTTTTTGTACCAAGATGGTCCATTCGTCAAAGTCTGTTTATTATTCCGTGAAATCCAGGGACAAAACTGTATTTTTAGGTGAGTATCCTCCTGAGCACCATTGGAACCACAGCTTCGTCCAACAGTGAGGCGGCGAAAGGTTGAAGGAGGTGACTGGTGCCGAGGGGTTGGGGTTGGGGTTGGGGAGCTACGGGGGATGGGGATTGAGGGATTCGGCGCATCTTGAGCACCAAAACGACATAAAGCCTAAACTTGCTGAATTGCTAACAGTGAATCTTGCAACAATTTAGTGGCAGTTGGGAGGGAGGAGGAAGAAGAAGAAAATGGGAGTTTTGGGGACCAAAATGATACTTGAGCAATAGTTGGGGGACCATTGAAATCAATAACTCGGGAGTTTTGTGTTAACTTCTCAAAAAGTCGTATATACCCTTCAAAACTCAGTCGTGTGGCCATCACGTGATCAGAAGTCACGAAATCTATAACGAATGGACCATCTTGGTACAAAATAAAAAGTTTAAGGACGTTTGAATTGAAAATTTTAGTTTGTGGACCAAAATGATACTGGGGCAATAGTTTGGGGATCATTTAGGGAGTAATTTTTGGGTGTTCCCGGTACACCACGTGGCTAGTGTACCATTCAATAGACGGAAGACATATGAAATATTTCCAATGCAGTCCGCCACATGTCATAAAAAGAAATGCAGTAAGTTGGATAATAATTTCACATGTTCTATGTTTATTGGATGGTACACCAGACACGTGATGTACCTGGAACATTTAAAAATTTCTCCCATTTAGGTCATTAACCCTTCAACAAATAATAACAAATCAACACTCATATTCAAACTTTCAATCCAACCAAATTACAAAGGGTGCCTAGTCATCGAAACAAAACAACTTTAAACTCCAAAATACAAAAGGTGCCTCGCATAAATACAAAAATACGAACGGTGCCCTAGTCATCGAAACAAAACAACTTAAATCATCACACACATTATCGATGTGAGTTAGGTTGGTTGGCTAAAGTAGTGTGTCGGTCTCATTACACCCAACTTTGAGTCCTTATTTTTGTAAATTATAATAATTTACACTATCACTTGTGCAAAAAATAAAAAAACCAAATTCTTCATAGTTTCTTGAATGGAATTGTTAGGAACCTTATAGTGGAATAGATTGACTAATTGAGAGTAATTTAGATTATCATTTGTGTCAACAAACAAAAAAATTAACATGTATTGACAAGTTTTGTATGGTTTAGGGGAAAATTAGCTTTAAAAAAAGTATTTGTTGTAAATTGACATTATTAATTTCATAAAATACTTAATAAATATGATTTATTTATTTATTTTAAATGTGTGGACTTTAATTTTCGTTTGTATAGCTAATTACTTAATATTTTTAATTAAGTAATATCTTAGTTTTATTTCATTAATATAATTAGTAATTAGCTTTTAGTTTTTATTTCTTTAGTGATTAATTAGTATTTAAATATTTAATTAGTTTCATAAATTACTTAATAATTAATAATTAATTATTTTGAATTATTTTGTGCACTTGAAAAATTAGTTTTCATTTCCAAAGTTATTTTAAAAATAGTTTCGATTATTTAAAAATCCTATAAAATTATTTTAAGTACCCAAAAATATTTTTATTTTAATTTTAGTATTCCAAAATTGGATTTTAGCCTCCAAACCCTAAATCTGAGTCTCGAACCAAAAACCCTAGTTTCCGAACTTGTTCCAAAGTTGTTCTCAAGCCTCGAACCCTAACCACCCCCCCCCCCACGGCCGCAACGAAAATTCATCGCAACAGGTCTAGGTTAGGTCCGGTTACATCCTACTAACCCAAGATTGAGATCGAAACCTTAATCATAAAGTCCTAGATCGAGTTACGTGAGTATCCAAGCCTAATCAAATCTTAATGGCCCTATAATAGGTTTATAAGTTTTTTATTATACCAAAAATGGATTTTAGCCTCCAAACCCTAAATCCAAGTCTCGAACCAAAAACCCTAGCTTTTGAACTTGTTCCAAAATCGTTCTCAAGCCTCGAACCGTAACCATAAGCCTATTATAGGGCACTTATGACTCGATTAGGCTTGGATACTCCCATAACTCGACCTTGGGATTTATGATTAGGGTTTCGACCTCAGTATAGTGTTAGTACAACGTAACCAGACATAACCCTAGTTAGTTGACTACGTATTAAGGTAGATTTTAACAAGTGGTTTGTTGTCGAAATCCCCAAAAATATTTCACCAGGAAAGATCTATTGGGACACACATTTGCCAAGATGTCAAAGTTCATCGGGATATAAAAAGTTCAATGGGGTAGGTCTATCGTGACAAAAGTCGTTGATATATTTTCATTTTGACGAAATTTCGCTGAGATAGCTCTAGGTTAGGTCCAATTACGTCGTGCGAACCCAAGATTGAAAAACTTAATTGTAAAGCCCTAGGTCGAGTTATGTGAATATCCAAGCCTAATCGAGTCATAAGTGCCCTATAATAGGTGTAGGTTTGGGTTCGAGGCATTCCACATCATACTTTTTTAATTTAAGTTAAAAATTACTATATATATATGGTTTGTTTTGACATTTACTTTCAATACTATTTACAATTATTCTCTTTTATATAGTTGGTGTAACTAAATTAAATTTTAGCTCACACAATTGCAAAGGTATTGAGTATTACATTTCCCTACCATTGGGTAAGTGATTCAAAAATAGTTTTTCTTTTTAACATTTTTAAATTAATAAAATCCAGCAAATATAAGAAAAAAAGTGTATGGTAGATTAAAAAAAACTACGTTTTGTTACATGATTCTAAACTATTCAAAGAATTGTGCTTTCTACAATATCCAAAGTTCTACGCTGGAGTTATAAGTATTGTATACCTAAGTTTTTGCATTTCCCAAGAATGTAAGACTCAAAATTCTAACATATGATCCCAACATAGGACCTCAACCTAAACTTATGATGTAAACAAGAGACTATAGCCCTAGGTTGATTTTACTTTTGCCATGCTTAAGATCCATCTTGATATGTTAATTCGAGACCCAAGATCTTAGTATGAAACTTGAACTCCAAATTTACTAGACCCATGACACACACCATAAACCATGGTTTGAGAAAATGATTATATAAGTATGCTAGTGTTAGGGTTTGGGAGGAAAATGTCACAAGGAATACACATGGTACAAGTTTAAGGTCAGTTTGATATTAAGGGAACCCAAAGAATTTAAACTATAGCCAAACAAACAAGTCAGTCCGATTTGGTATGAGTCAATTAAAAGAATCACTTATTTTTCACTAAAAATTGAATCAATTGGTTCACTAACTCTTATGACGATCCCTACATTTGACTTGAGATTCAAAACTAAATTGAAAAATCGTGACTCAAATTAAGGACGTCAAATCCAAGAGCCCTATATCATTTACCCGAGACCTTGAGATTGAGACTCGAACTCTAAGACATGCACTCGTATACTAGTGCCAACTATATTTTTCACAATGCATGAAGTTTCAAAAACAATTTCATATTTATCCTTATACACGTTTTCAAATATTAGAAATACTAACAACACAATCTAGCTGCTTGGAAATGATTATATGGGTTTTGAAACATGTTGTTAATTATGAAACAAATGACTTTTTATTTTTATAATTGAAGATGTCTTAGTTTCATTCAACAATAATCTAAATGGTTATTTTATGTTGCTTACATGAGATGGAATCAAATGTTGCACATATTCCAGAGAGAGAGAGAAAGCTTCATATCTGAGGGGGTTTTCTCCTCAGATCCTCGAAGTTCTCCCCTCGGATTCTCGAAGTTCTCCGACTTTTGGCATATCTATGCCGATATAGTCTTCCTTTGGCAAATATATTGTCCATGCAACGAATATGGGTTAGCTTTGAATGTGCCTCATCTTGCGAGGTTGGTCTTTGAGGTGTTGTTGCTTGGTCACGATAGATATACTGTTGATTGGCACATTGGGGCCATGGAGTGAGTGACTAGGTGATGCTCTCTATGTCATGTCTCAGAGGAAGATTAACGGTGTTTGTTCTTCCTTTTGTCGGTGTTGTTTTAGATTTTAGTCTTGGTCTTTTTTGGTCAATAAAGTCCAGAAACTCTATGAGTTGTCTGTGTTTTTTTTCTTCTCTCATAATTCCATAAACTTAGTTGAGTTTGATGAGTGGTCTTAGTCTCTTTATGAGAGTTGTGTTGGTTAACGAACAGTTATGTGTTTGATGTCATCAGACTAGATTCGGGGAAACTATGGCGATAGAAAGAGGTTATATAAAAGTTATTTTCGAGAGTGATTCCCTCCATATCGTTTCAGCTTTTCGACTAGCTCAAGTCATTGGGGAAGTTTTTACCGAAGTGTGCCATATTGTTGTTGGGATGGCTCCTTCATCCTTTGTACTCTTTTTTCCTATTGGTCTAATAAAATTATATTGCATTTTTATCAAAAGAACGCTACACATATTCTAATCCTAATTCATTATCCCACTGTTTTCACACCTCATGTTAGCCCCAAATACTTATCCAAATTGACTTTGAATTTGGTTTGATATTGTGGATTCCCCCTTCCCCCCATGGCACCCAGGATCGAACCCCAGTGGGGTTTCTTTCCTCCAATGTAACCAAAAAAAAAAGATTCACTAAGAATTTACGGCGCAGTAACTCAGGCAAGTTACCGTAATTTGGGGTGGATGAAAATAGAATGCATAGATAGATATTCGGTATGAGATAGATAGAGAGAATATTAAGACCGCTCGTTGTAACTTGTAACAGCACGCCAGCCGCAATATTTTTGGGATTTCGACTTTACCCTTCTTTTCTTTCTCACATGTTTTTTCTTTTTCTTTTTCTTTTCCTGCAAAATTCAAATTCTTTTAAAACCAAAACAAAGAAAAACTCCTCCTCCTCCTCCTCCAAAAAAAAAAACCGCACAAAATAGTAATAAAAGATTTATTTTAAAATTAAAAAATTTAGAAGGAGAGAGAAGGGAACGGCTTTGGCTTTGAAGAAAAGAAAAGATATTTTTGTTGGGCTTAAAGCGCTGCCTCTTGTCTGCGTGCACCAACAAAACATTAGGGTTTCTCAGATCTTTTTCTTCTTCTTCTAACCTCCGTCACGTCCTCTACTGCTACAGGTTTGTTCATCCGTACAGGTCTCTCCTGTTTCGCTCTTTCTCTCTACTTTGCATGCTAATCTTCTGTCTTGCATTAGCGTCGAGTCTATGGTTATGCTTTTTCGTTGCATTATAGATCGGGGATTGTTCTTCTTCCATTTATTTGATTAGGTTCTGTCTGCTTGCTGGGAATATATATGTACATCAGAAAAGAAGAGAAAGTGAGGGAAGATTTAGTTATTGGTTTGAGGGGTGAAATGGGTTTTCTTTGTCACTCTGGCTTTTAATTTTTTATTTTGTGACTTAGTGTGCATTGTTGTTTATGTTGCTGCTGTTGCCTTGTTCCTTTCTGAATTGATGATTATGCATTGTTGCGGTTTTGAGGCCTGATTGATGATTATGTATAGTTAATTTGTTTATTTATTTGTTTACATGTTTTTGTTTTTTCAGGGTTTTATTTTTTGCGCTGATTTGGATTTTCATTGGGATTGCAATTGAAATTTCTGGGGTTCAATTGTCGAGAATTTTGAAATTGGTTTCGAGGGTTATATCTGTTTTTTGAAGGCTGTTGGAGTGATAATTTTGTCCTAGTTGTATCGACTATGCGAACTTCATGGGCAGATTTGGCTGCAAATTCTGCAGCTGAGAATGTAACTTCTGGCTCTTCCGCTAGCAATGCTGTTGCTGGCACGGCTGCTGCTCCTACTCGATCCACCTATGTCCCCCCACATCTGCGTAACCGTCCTCCTTCAGCCGACCCACCTGCTCCAGCCTATACTGGCCCGCCTGCCAATGATCGAGGTGGGTTCAGCGGATCTCGCTGGGGTGGTCCCAGAAATGACAATATTCGATCTGGACCTGGCTATGGTGGCAATGGTGGTCACGGTGGTGGATGGGGCAGCAGAAGTGGTGGTTGGGATGGGAGGGTGCGAGAAGTGAACCCCTTTGGAGAAGAGGAAGAAACAGAGCAGCCATTTAGTGAGCAAGAGAACAGTGGTATTAACTTCGATGCATATGAAGATATTCCGGTTGAGACAAGTGGTGATAATGTTCCGACCCCTGTGAATACATTTGCAGATATTGACTTGGGTGATGCACTTAATAAAAATATTCAGAGGTGCAAATATGTGAAACCAACACCTGTGCAGCGTCATGCTATTCCCATCTCCCTTGCGGGCCGGGACTTGATGGCATGTGCCCAAACTGGTTCTGGAAAGACGGCTGCTTTCTGTTTCCCAATCATCAGTGGAATTATGACGGGACAACCTGCACAGAGACCGCCCCGTGGTGCACATACAGTTTATCCACTTGCTCTCATTTTATCTCCTACTAGGGAGCTTTCTATTCAAGTATGTTTTAGTAACTTATCTATCGTGTCTTCACAGTTTCTGGCTGTCCATGTGATAAGAATTGAAAGTTTTTCTTCGTGTTTCAGATTCATGAGGAAGCTAGGAAATTTTCATATCAAACAGGTGTTAGGGTGGTTGTTGCCTATGGAGGAGCACCAATTAACCAACAGGTTTTTTCATGCTTTCCTTTTTCCCTGTTGTCTTCGCTTTGTCCTCATCTAGTGTTCTGTAATTGATGACTTTATATTGCTAGAGACTCAATGTGAGAGTTGTGTTTATTTCGTCCAACTCATGAACTTTACAGTTTTAGAAAACCCTGTGCTCTAGCTTGCAATCTCGTATGGAACTTTAGTAACTAAAGTGAAAGTTTGTTTCACTTTTTGTGTATTGGTGGATGTACTCTATAAGCATAATTCTTAAGTTTAGCTGATAAATTATTAACATGATTGCCAATGTAGTTTGCATTTTAGATGTTTGGTGCTGTTATCTTGGTATTATATGAACGGTGCATAGTTTGGTTTAGGATATTTTCTGTCCAATTGTATTTCATTAAGTTCATCCGTGTAATGACTGCTAAATTATTCTCAGCATCTTCTTTTTGAGATGGTGAGACTAATTGAAAGTTTGTTGGCGTGAGATACATGATGTACACACATGTATGGCATATGAGTCTACATACTTAGTCCTGCAAGTTGTTACGCCGCTTACATCTTATTTTGTCTAAATTTCCTCATTTACTTTACCGGCATGTTATTTTTGAGATACACGGCAGATTTTGATTTAAGTATTTTTGGACAGCTGCGGGAACTTGAAAGAGGTGTTGATATTCTTGTGGCAACTCCTGGAAGATTGGTGGATTTGCTGGAGAGAGCTAGAGTTTCATTGCAAATGATTAGGTATTTAGCCCTAGATGAGGCTGATCGAATGCTGGATATGGGTTTTGAACCACAAATAAGGAAAATTGTGGAACAAATGGACATGCCTCCACCAGGTGCACGACAGACTATGCTGTTCAGTGCCACTTTTCCAAAGGAAATACAGGTAATTTTTCTTTTGTGGGAATAAGTTTATAGACGGCAGACTTTTATCAAAGTGTTGTCTCCACTAGCTTTTGTACAGACATGTTTCCAACCAGGAGTATCAAATAACAGTATAAAAGATGATTATTTTTTGGTTCCTATTTCTTCTATCCTGTGTTTGCGTGTGCTGAAAACTCTAATGTGTTGTTTAATGTGATAGTTCTGTTTTACATGCAGAGACTGGCCTCTGATTTTCTTGCAAAGTACATCTTTCTGGCAGTTGGAAGGGTGGGTTCTAGTACTGATTTGATTGTCCAAAGAGTGGAATTTGTTCATGAGTCTGATAAAAGAAGTCACCTTATGGACCTTCTTCATGCACAGAGGGCCAATGGCGTACAGGGCAAGGTATTCTCATAGAATAAACTTCTTTTAAATAGGTTTCGGGGGTTGTCATATTACCCAAATTTTCCAATAATTTTTATTGTGAAAACTATTCTCAATTGTATTATTTTTATTTGTGTGATTCTTGATCCCCTCCCTCCCCTCACTCGATCGCCCATTGTTGGTTTTGTAGCAAGCTCTGACATTAGTTTTTGTGGAGACAAAGAAGGGAGCCGATTCACTGGAACACTGGTTGTGTATGAATGGTTTTCCTGCAACTACTATTCATGGTGACAGATCACAGCAGGTCAGTTGGTTTTATCTATCTGGTTTCTATCATGCCGGGCTGCATCTTTAATTTTTAAGGGAAGTTACAGTGGTGTGGCTGGGTAATTGGTGCCATCAAGGTACACCCTGATAATATGGTGGGATACTTTTTTTTGTTAATAGTTGAACAAATGCGGATATGCTCACTCAGACTTTTTGAGTTAGCAGATTGTTCATGTTTGGGAATGTTGGGTTGGTGGGAATTGGTAGGGGATTTAGAGTCTAGTGAACATGAAATAGCATGTTAGCTATATCTCCTACAAGCTGAAGAATAGCAAGGTGCATAACAAGTAGAGAAACAAGGACTGCTTGTTTAAGGTCATGTGAGTGTGAATTGCCGTTTTGGAATATCATCTTTCACTGCTTGCTGATGCTGGGTGTGGGTGATATGGCTTTCCATGGGCTTGTTAAGGTTTTGTATTTGCATAGGTCATGAGTCTAGATTTGGGATTTGTGTTGACTTTCTAATAGGTTTGTACTGGGTTGTGATGGAGATGCTTTCTTCCTCTTTTATGTTGATATTTGAATTTAGTGATAAAGTGGTGTACAAAAGCTGTTATCATGCATACGCTACTGGGCTTGATGTCTGAACTGTGCTTTTGTATAATCAAATTTGAGACTTTGGAATGGATCTTATACCATGTGCTTGAGGTCATGTATGACGGTATGCTGTTTTAGTGTTTAAATCCTACCTTTTATTTATTTGTACTTGTCTACAGGAAAGAGAACAAGCATTGAGGTCATTTAAGAGCGGCAACACTCCAATTTTGGTGGCTACTGATGTGGCTGCACGTGGGCTTGACATTCCTCATGTTGCACATGTTGTCAACTTTGATCTTCCAAATGACATTGATGATTATGTCCACCGCATTGGTCGTACTGGACGAGCTGGGAAATCTGGTTTAGCTACTGCCTTCTTTAATGAGAACAATTCATCCCTTGCTAGGTCTTTAGCAGATTTGATGCAAGAATCAAATCAAGAAGTACCTGCTTGGCTGTCCCGGTACGCAGCTCGATCTTCTTTTGGTGGTGGGAGGAACCGTCGTTCTGGGGGAGGTCGGTTTGGTGGCCGTGACTTCCGAAGGGATACCTCTTTCAGTAGGGGTGGTTCTGATTACTATGGCGGAGGCAGCAGTGGTGGATATGGGGGTTCTTCTGGTGGTTATAGTGGAGGTGGAGGATATGGTGGTCCTGGGATGACCAGTGCATGGGACTAACCACTAACTCTTGAAAGCAGTTACAGTGTCTCTAGGTAATGGCTGCAGACTTCTTCCTTCTTTATAAGGTCGTCATATTTTTGTTTTTGTAATGTTTGGTTTAAGCCATCAAATGCTTTATACTGTCGGAAGTGCTCATCAATGTTTTGAGGGAGGGGGGGACTTATGTTTGGTATTTGGCGCCACAGGAATAGAGGTTTGTGTAATGTTGGTAGGTGTCGATTAAAAATTACTAACAGAGTAGGGATTACTTTGTCTTTTAAAATTTTCTGTACGCTTTTTACATACTCTGGCTTGTGATTTTGGATGGGTTGTAGAATATGTAGTGGGAGAGGGAGAGGGTTTCGTTTCGGCCGCATCTTTGTGTATCTCATAGGCATGTTCGTTTCAACCCGGTTTGTGGGGTTATAGTGTTGAGAGGTTCTTCTGTTCCTGCCATTTCTTCCTCCTTTTAAACAAAGGAGTTACGGATATCTAGGGCTTTTGTAATATTTTGGTTGCTGACTGAAATGAATACAAAGCCTTCTTGGAAACTGTAGATTTCTCCGATTTGCACGGGATCTTCTGGTACTGATTGGACAGGAATAAGCTTAGTTGCCATTCATTGTCAAACTTGAAACAATTGTTATTTTTATTTAAGTTGGTTAACTCAGAAAGGCCAAGTATTCGCATATCGTTTCACTTTCGTTTTGAGTGATTATTTGGGGCGCAGGAGCCTCGAATTGTTTAGAATGGTTAATTACTTTTTTGGGCGAAAAGAAGTTAGAACAGATTGGGTAGACTAATATCAAGTTTCAATTGTAAAAAAATATGATGATTGAGTTTCAGGTTCAGCCAAAGCCTCCATTGTCGCTGGTGTTAACCTCTCTTTTCTTCCACCCCTTGGCTTGGTTGATGAGAGATGAGTTGCCTTGATTATGGCTTCAAGTTTTAATAAGGCTCTCAGCTTTTGCAATCGGTAAATGACCCAAAAGTTTTGCACGATAACAACTTTTTGCTTCATGCCTTTTACACTCTACCAAACCCATACACTGCAGATAGATTTATGCTTTGGTATTGAAACGGATTGAAATGGAAGGAGGAGACAGCTCCGGTGAGGGACAATGGAGGAGGAGGAGGCGGCAGAGCACGCTTTCATCAACTCTTTCTTTCTACTGCCTCTTCCATCTTTGTTGCCTGGTCTGTACTCATCATTTAGTAGAAACACTTGACGAACGATCATTGCCATGCCTTTTAACTTTTCACACAAAACCCATCCAATTAAAACTTGCAAAATTTCCATTGTCTTGCATACTAGTGGTCTTAGGTTTGAACGCCCATCACACCTTGGTAGTGTGTGAGAAATTGTCATTCCCTTCTAGTTTAGACTATCGCTTGTATTGAAGGAAAAAAAAAAAACTAACAAAATCCACGAGGCCAAGTATTCAACAAAGTGCCAATACAGCCCATTAAAGTTACTTCTAAAGCCTAAACTACCATAAGGAGCCCATAGTGCACAATCCAAAGAGAGAACCCAACTAGAAGAAAAAGCCCAATCTATGTCACAAGACAAGATGTTCTGCTAATTCCACTTGCATTTGCATATATAAGTTCCGCGTAATCTCGTGTGACGCGGACCAAAATAAGCTCTGAACAAACCCTGTCACATAATACCACATGTAATATCGAAGATAGGCCCCAAAATCCACTACTATTTCTTTAGCGATGCCAGTTTCTCTCGCAGCTTGATTTTCTCTCAGGTAATCTCTCAGACACCGAACTTAGATTACATTTAGGATTAAATTTTTGAATTTATTACACATTTTGGTTTGTATTTAGGGTTTTTCTTTTCTGTTTGTTGTTCTTCCGCGACATGGACGTCTGAGAAGTTGGCGTTGTATTTTCGTGTTCAATGTTTAGGATCATTTTTTTGTGTGTGTTGTAATTTGTGGTAATAAAACGGTGCCGCACTTTTGTAGTGATGGAGGAGCAGTTCGTACTCAGAGTTCCACCTTCCGTTGCAGAGCGATTAGACCGCCTTTTGGGCGAAAATGCTTCTACTGACGACAAGTCGTTGGATTTGTCATTCGAAGGTCAGAAGAAGAAACCTACTTTTTGTATTGACAGTGTCTTAGAATTAGTCACAATTTTCTGTTATTTTCATCACAAAATGGCAGAAACCTCTCTAAGAAAGAGGAAAAATGCTCACTTTTTGTGTTGGTTTGTTGATGAGGGCCAATGAGGTGTAATTATAATATTTAATTCAAGGGTTATGGCGGCTTAATGATTTTAAGAGTGATGGTTGGAATTTGGTGATTTTGCTTATGAATTGGAGTTGGGTATTTTGTTGGATTGTCTTGGGGGGTTTGATGTTATAGCAATTGGTTTGGTCTTTGGAATGGATACGAATTGCTCAAGTGAAAAGATCATGTTATGTCAGACTAAGGTTTGCCAAGAAGCATGTTATGTCAGTTTGAAGCTTTCTTTAGTTGTCTTGTTGTAGTGGTGGCATTTGACAGCCATTTGGTATGTTTGATGTTGCCAATATAACCTGTCTTGTGGTATAGGATCATAGTCCTGAGGGCCTTTTTTAGTTATGGTACTTTGACATGTGCGTAAAAGTAGAATAGAATTAAGTTCATTCTCCGCACTCATGGCCTACCCATATGCCATAGATACCTCATGTTGCATGAAGAAAGACAACATCTTCACTTGGTTTTACCCACTTTTGATAACTATTCAATCTTTTGCCTACTTAATGTGCTTGTAGCTTCTTTTTCAATCCGTCGCATGATTAATTATGGTTTCTAGTATGTTTGTTGGACATGGCGCAACTAGCCAACTAGTGAGGAAGTAACAACAACGAATTGCATCCTTTTTTAAAACTTCGCTTCCCCTGTTTCAACAAATGGTTCGGTTGTAAACTTGAAATATCTTGCAGAGGATGGCAGGACTGGCACATTTGTCGTTGGAAATGACCGTTTCCCTGCATCGCTGTTGGATCTTCCTTGTGTTGTGGAGTCCTTCAAAACATATGATGATGGTGTGTTAATTAAGACTGCAGATATTGGTCAGGTGGGTGCTGTATATCAATGTTGAAACAGTTAAATATATGAGGGATTCGTTTCTAAGGCATTTACATGAACTTTTGTGGTTTAGCAGATGATTATGGTTAGAGATTCGAGTGATGCGGCTCCAGATACAGTGGAGTACAGGCATGGTCTTACACCCCCAATGAGGGATGCTCGAAAGCGAAGATTTCGGAGGGAGCCTGATCTAAATGTATCATTAGCCTCTTTACATTGGAATATTTTATTTGGTAATGCTATAAATATATTTCGTAAGGAAAGAAGAAATCCAGTCTCCTTGGTTCTCAGAAGTAATAAATGCACGTTATACCAAATACTAAGAAATGTATCTTGGACAGACGGTTGTGAGATGTCATCCTCTGGTTTTAGACTTTGGAAACAATGTCAATTGAAAAATAAGTTTTATGGGATGAACGGGCCTTCCTGACATAAGAGAAGGGATTTGGCTGGCAATGCAGCTATCTTATTATGATGTCATTCACATCTGTATGTTTTGCTGATTGCGATTTTCTTGCATTTTACAGCCTGAGCTTGTCCGGCGTGTTGAGGAAGATCTACTGAACATTAGTGCTGGTGGGCCAGCTGATAATATTGATATCCTCATATGTTGTGTTTCATTAATATCTCGTTATCATTTTGTGCAAAATGCGGAAATAACACTGTTTTCTTCTTCCCCTTTTTCCTTGTATATATTTATATATATATATATATATATATATATATATATTTTTGGTCAGTTCTCATATTCATTAGGTTACAAAACATGTGGCACATTCTGTAAATGGAGGAAATTTTTTCCAATATGTGAATGATGGTCTCAGCATTGTTGCTTTATTGTAACACCCTAGATTTGTACCAGAAGTGTAAAGTTCTGCATGGTATGTTTTGCTTGCTTATTCCTTAATTGAGTAGGTCACATGTTGAAGCAGCTGAGCAAGAGAAGGATGGAGATGGAAGTGATCGTAATGCAAGCAAAAAGCCTGTGGAAGAAGAACCTGTGTCGCAACCTGATGTTACTGAGGCTGCTACAAATGCTGGGGAGCCTGATAGAAGCGACTCTGATGAATCCGACGAGTCAATTTGATCCAAAGCCAAAACCAAAGCCTCCTGCTGATATGCTCTTCCCCTTCAGTACGCTTGATGCAGTTGGAATGTGTATAACAGGGACTAAAGATGTACCAAGAAAACAGGGATATCTTGTTTTTCGCGTGACAGTATGCTGATGGTAAGTTTACATTAATGTTAAGCTTCCCATACTGAATTTTCTCGAAGAAGAAATATGCTCGTGTAATTTATAGGTTATGTATTGTATGCATCGGGACAGGTTGTCTGCAATTTTTAATAAAATTTTGTTATGAAAAATAAAATTTGGAAGTTTTGGTATTGCCTTCTTTTAAAAGTGTTTGTTGAATGTTGAAAAACTATATAAAAACAAAAGATAAAAAAGCCAAATTCCCACATGAATTATGGGTGGACATTTGGGCTACAGTACGGGCCATATGGTGAGGCTTATGTCTTAACCGTTGGATTAAGTTGATTAATCGTTTGATCAAATTGGTTAGCTTGATTCAATGATTAAGAAATAAGACCTCAACTAAGGGCCATATATAAGGTCCTCCCGTAGAATGACTCCATACCAATTTGAAGAAAAGCCCAATGCATCTCACAAGACAAAGATGTTTGTCAATTTCGATTTGCCTAAAATATGCATGGTGGAAGAATAATAAAATACGCTTAAATGGAGCCATTGATGCTGTGCTGTTTTTATTTTGTTGTACGAAACCTATTTCACCCAAAACCATGGATTTAATTTTTCTTTCGGACCAAAAGACATTTTTAATGGTTTTTTTTTTTTTTTTTGTTTTTGAAACTTAGCGATATATTGCATTCATTGATCAGGCACAGAGGCCGTTAGCCAAAAAGGCCAGTACAGAGGCCGTAAAGAACAGTACAAGAGCCGAAAGGGCCATAGCAATAACAGAGACCGATACCCATTTAGGGTTGATACAAAGGTGGACAGTAGTCCAGAGGGGGAGGACACCGGTAACATTGGGACCTCCAGTCATGGCCACAGGAGGCCAGAGAGAACTAGTGTGGACAGTCGTCCAAAGGGGGAGGACACCGGTAACTTCGGGAACTCCAATCATGGCCACAGAAGGCCAGAGAACGATCGGTAAAAAGACCGCAAGCCAGGAAAAATCCGGCATAGAACACTAAACGCCGAAAACCAGACGCCTAGGCACCCAAACTACAAAAGCAAAGTAACTTAAACCCTCACTAGTAAAATACAAGTAAGAGACAGCAACAAGCAACACACTCAAAATGAGTTGAAGCATAAAAAACAACAAGAAAATTGCAAAGCCAAAGATCCGCACAGCAAGCTCAAGCAGCTCCAGGTAGAGCAGAGATCACCCACAACGACCAGGCCGAAGGGCAGCCCCCGGGGATGAATAGATCTGAGTAGATCTAGACAGGAGCACCAAAAACTGAGCCACCACCGTGCAGACAGCTGTAGGAACAACCAGAAGAACCAGGCTCTTACAAGTAAAAACTTGAAGAGAATCTTGATCGATCACCCCAAACGGGATGAAGACAAGCAGCACAAAAGGCTGAAGAGGATCGCACAGCACGCTTGGTCACTCGTTTGCCACCAAATCACAGATAGAAGCGAATTCCAGAGCTATTCCAGCCTGAAACAAAACTAAAATCTGCAAAAGAAAACAAACAGAGTAAAACAAAACCACCGGCAACACAGGGGATAAATCACCCAAGCCACTGAAAGACAGAGGCAACCTCCGGACACAGGAGATCCAAAATAGGAGCAGAAACAAGGGAGCCACCCACACCCAACCACACACTCCCTGCAAAAAGAAAAGAAAGGGCCAAGGTCACAGCAAAAGAAAAGGGGTGAAGAAGAAAAGTCAGGGAGGGAGGGAAGAAGATGGTGTGAAACAAAGAAAAGGGAGGAGAGAGGGGCGAGAGGAGAGGGGAGGGTGAGAGGGGAGGGGGAGAGCAAAAGGAGGTCACCCTCCCCCAAAGGGGGGTGGCGGCTAAAACTCCAAGCCTAGGGTTTTCTTTCCCAGGGAGAGAAAACCTGTTACTCAGCAATCAGTGAATCTCATTTTTAATGGTATTTATATATACATACTATGCTACTCTATAAAATATAAAATATATATTATGTGAGCCCAATTAAGACATTGGGCTCGTTTGGTACACAGGATTGGCTTGGACTGGCTTGGACTAAATTTAGTACCATGTTTGTTTTATCTAATCCTAGTCTTAGATGGGATTGCTAATATCGGGCTCACCAAAAACACCTCCTTAGGAGGGGACTACTAATCCCATGTGGAAATGGAGGATTAGCTAGTCCCAATGCTCACCAATGTATAAAATGTATATATTATATTGTAAAATTAATAACATATATTATTATTATTAAACTTACTTACACATATACTATAATGTACATATATACATGAATACATATGTTTATATTATTTATAATATACATATATACATGTATATACACATACATGTCACATATATTATAAAATACATATGTACACATACATAATACATGTATTTATACATATATACATATACATAGATAGTTTTGAAAAAAAAAAAAAATCTAGTCCTAGTCCAAGCATACACCAAACGCATGATAAGTGTTATCCAACTTAGACCAAGCCAAGCCAAGCCAAGACAGTCCCTAAGCATAGTCCATGCCAAAACAGTCCTGTGTACCAAACGAGCCCTTAGCCCAACACAAAAAAGACACACTTATATATTGAACTCTAAACCAAAAAAAAAAAAAAAAGTGTCTGAACTCTAACTTGACGGAAAAAACTTCGTGGCTTTACCAATTCTTTCTCAATGATTCGATGAAGAATGAAGCTCGAGTTGTATAGGTATGTTGATTGACATTCTCTTTCATACCTAAGAGCGATTTTTATTTATCTTTTAATAAAAATTATTCTCATACCGTCTCGAGGTTCTGCAAAAAAAAAGAAAAAAAGAAGAGTATTGTTGTACTAGAATTTGAGCAAATTTTATTTATCTTTTTCGTGTTTTCTTGCTGTGCATATTATATATTGTTAGCTGTTTCTTTCTCCTTTATGTGTTACAATCTTGAATTTGAGTTCTTATAATATTTTTTAATGCACTAAAAAAAACCAAATCACATGGATGTAAGGCTATATTTTTGCGATTCGTCTAGGGCTTACGAAACTTAGTCCTTGTTTGGCATTGCTTATTTGGGGTGATAAGTGATTTTTAAATTTTTTAGAGAACACCAGTCCGTTTGGTAAACTATGAGAAAATCACTTATTATTAAAAATTGTTGTGAGAGAAAGCTATAAGAGAAAGCAGTTAATCAGGTGCTTTCATTTTCTGATTATACATGAATCAGTTTTGAAGAGGCGCTGAGTTTAATGATTATGTAACAATCATTTTTTGATTAGACGGGAATTAGTACCAACAATACTTTTAACAAAAAATTTACCAAACACCAAATTGCTTTTTCTCACAGCAAATCTGATAGCGATATTTTCACAGCATAGCAATGCCAAATTGGCCCTTAGGGCTGAAAACCTAAAACCGAAGTGTTTGTTATTAAAAAAAATTAAATTGCAAGGATTGGGAAGAGAAGAAAAAGACTTGTATGTTTTAAATAATTTTTTAAAGAGAAGGGGAGTAGACCTTCAACTATTGGTTACGTAGAAAAAAGAGGGTCCTTATTATTCTCTTTGACATATATGAATGAAGGTTCTTTCGCTCATCTCTTTTGACATGCGCACATGAGCCAAAAGAGCAAGTAAATATTTATCTTAATCATCACATCAACATGTTGAAACTTCCCTCTTTCAATTTCCTGATTTTTTTTTTATAAAAAAAAACTCCTCTTTCAAATCTTTGTTATTTTTAGAATTTTCTTTTATTTGTCGGCGTATATGAAGTATGGTTATATAACTCCAATTGTGGGATTTTTTTTTTTTTGGTTAGAAAGAAGAGGGAAAATTAAGGGTGGAATCAACTCTACTCAAAATCTGTTGATTTTGAGTTTTACACACTTAAAAAAAAGGATATTAAGATGAACACAAGAAACATGGATGAAGAGAATGTTTGATTTACCCTCCAATTTGCAATTATGAATACTAATATATAATTAAATATAAAATATGACTAATGCTAAATTCAATCGCTCATGCACACACGTTCACAATGCACCATAAAGGATAAGAAGAGAGTTGGAGAGTAAGAAACCGAAAAGGATATGTCAGTCAAATATATGAAACAGTCACCATGGGATAGGTAAGGTCATTAAGGGTGATGGAGGTGAGCCATTAATATTTTGGTATACCCAAAAGCGAAGGTTCAAACCCGCCTCTGTCTTGTCTCTCTCTACCTCAGTCGTTTCCTTTCCTTTCCTCTAAATTGGGTTTTGACTGTGAGTTGTATCAACCATGTTAAAGGTTCCTGTCCTCTAGTATGAGTTGAAATTAAAATCCCACAAATACACATTTAAAAGTGTGCATTAAACTATGTTACAGGTTGGAGAAAGAGAATCAAGTCCACTTCTACATTTAATTTTTAATTTTTCAGTCTATACTCTATACACTTAATAATTAGAAATTAGAGTACAAAATCAGAAGTTGGTGAAGCCCATGGGTCTAGCTGTACTCTTTTGGGTTAGAACTTAGAGAGAGAGAGAAAAGACTGTAACTAAGTATTTTAGAGAGAGAGAGAGAGAGGGAGAGAAAGAGAGAGTGAGAGAGAAGATGTACCCTCAGGTTTTGTTATTGTAGTTGTTGTTCCCAGTTAGTAGAGGTAGAGTTCTATTTTTTGTGCTTATTTGTTTGCATTTGCAGAGGTTAAAAGGAAAACAAACCCTCCGGAAGAGAAGACAAAGCTTTTTAGTTCATTTATACTATTTGCTGGATCAGATTCAAGAAATTGAAGTTGAAGCTTAAAGTGTCTCTCGATCTGAGCCTCTAAGCTTCCTTTAACCTTTTGAATTGGGCTCAAAAGGTACCCTTTTTCTATGAGCTTGTGATTCTCAAATGGACTCAAACACTGAACGGTCTTCCAATGCTCAGAGGGGCTTCAGAGTTCAAGCTCCACTGGTTAGTCTTCTTACTGATCTCTGACCCACCTTTCCCTTTTATGTTTTTCCTAATCTTTTCTCTTATGCTTTCTTTCAATTCACGACATTTTAGAGATACCCAGATGAAAAGTTAGCTTAATTGTGATAAATTGTCGAGAAATTTGGTAAATTTGGTGGATAAGCGTGTTTGAGGTGTAGCTACCTCTACGTGCTTTGCATTTTCCTTTTTGTTTGTTGTTTTCATAAGCGTTTTGGGGGTGCGCAGCACGTATTTCTGCTAGATGCGTTATTATTTGGGGAAAGTTTGGGAATTTTTAGGATGATCATATATGGGTCGGGGAATTGTTTAATTTGGATTCTTATGAAAATTTAGCTACTGTGCAATATTGTTGAGAAAAGATTGAAAATTCGGTTGTGAGGATGTGTGTTTGAGGTTTATCTGGCACTTAGTGCCTTGCATTGTCCTTTTGGTTTTTTGTTTTCATGAGCTTAGGGGTATCCGCCACCCGGCTCGTATTTCAGTCAAATATGTGTGATACTTTTGAAATTTTGGATGAGCATATGGGTTAAGGAAATGCTAAATTTTGGCTTCTTTCTTTTGCAATTTATTCCATGGAGCTTATGGTAACCTGACGACCAACTTCTAGTTAATTATTAAGAGAGAGAACATTTTGGCGAAGAAGGAATTTGATGAGCATTTGTTAGATTTAGGACCGTTCTCACTCTCCGGGCTGTATCTTTTTGCTTCATAAGTTTGCTTCTTGAGTACTCTAATACACTAAACCCTTTCATTTTTATGTTTGAGGTGCCACATTCTGATTTTCATGGAGGGTTATGTTTGTTTCCTTGTCATGACCTTTTGTTGCTAAGCAATTAGTGTTCCTTTTACTTTGGTGAACAGAGTGTTGAATGTAAGGTAACTCTGTGGATGATTGGATGGTTATCTGCCTTCAACATGAGTTTCAATTATGTTCTCGTAGCATTTATGTACTTTGGATCAAATTACTGCTTTGGATTTGGTTTTTTCTGCATTTATTTTGTCAATGCCTTGAGAGTTGTTCATGCTCTTTCTATCTTAGTGTCTGGTATCAATTTTAAGTTTAGATCTAGGTGAATGTGGGATCTCTTGTACTAGTAAAGGGAACAAAAAAATTCTGACAAAGCCTAACTTTCTTGGCCCATTAAAAGTTCAATTAGACATGTTATTTGTCAATTTCATTTACTAATTTGTCCTTGGATTAAATCTCATCTATCACTGTTTATTTCATCAATGCATATTTAGGGCGTTGTCAAACATGATTCCCATGGATGATGAACAAAAGCTCCCTTTATTCAGTTATCCTTATCTGTGATCAACCATATCATTCTTTATACATGTGAAATTATGCGGATAAATATTTGTGTGCCCTTAACCCCTCCCCGTGGGTCCAATTACTACTTGCATTTTCTTGTGTTTTAAACTTTTGGTTACCATGCCTAATTAGTTTTTTCATTTCTGTTGGTGCAAGTCATGATATTTAACTAAGCATTCCCATTGGACGTATTCAAATCATTCCCTATACTACGGTCATGAACACATCTAAGGAGCATCTATCATGGCCATTAGCTTCTAATTGGTGTTTCTTACTTGCTTATTCTGAATTTTTGGTAATTCTTGTATCAGACATCCTGACATGGCTAGTTTTGCAGGTTGACTCTGTATCATGCTATTGCAAAGTAGATGCAAGCTTAAAAACCGTTGCGGGGGCAAGAAAGTTTGTCCCAGGATCAAAACTTTGCATCCAGCCTGATATTAATCCTAATGCACACAGGGGAAAAAATTTACGCAGGGAAAAGACCAGAATCCAGCCACCCCTCCTGCCTGGCCTACCTGATGATCTTGCAATCGCTTGTTTAATCAGGGTCCCTCGTGTTGAACATAGAAAACTCCGTCTAGTTTGCAAAAGATGGTACCGCCTTCTGGCTGGTAACTTCTTTTATTCGCTTAGGAAAAGTCTTGGAATGGCAGAAGAGTGGGTTTATGTCATCAAAAGAGAACGTGATGGAAGGATCTCTTGGCATGCTTTTGATCCTACATACCAGCTCTGGCAGCCGCTTCCACCTGTTCCTGGTGAATATTCTGCAGCGCTTGGTTTTGGTTGTGCTGTCCTTAGCGGTTGTCACCTGTACTTATTTGGAGGAAAAGATCCATTGAAGGGATCTATGAGACGGGTTATTTTTTACAGTGCTCGGACAAATAAATGGCACAGGGCACCAGATATGCTTCGGAAACGCCATTTCTTTGGGTCCTGTGTTATTAATAATTGCCTTTATGTAGCTGGTGGGGAGTGTGACGGAACTCAAAGGACTCTTCGTTCTGCTGAAATTTATGATCCTAACAAGAATCGGTGGAGCTTTATTTCAGATATGAGCACAGCTATGGTTCCCTTTATCGGGGTTGTTCATGAAGGAATGTGGTTCCTAAAAGGACTTGGGACACAGCGTGAGGTAATGAGTGAAGCCTATTCTCCTGAAGCTAATACCTGGACCCCCATTAGTGACGGGATGGTTGCTGACTGGCGCAACCCGAGTATTTCTTTAAATGGGCAGCTCTATGGTCTAGGTTGCCCCGATGGGTGCAAGCTTAAAGTTTATGATGGAGTAACAGATTCGTGGAACAAATTTATAGATAGCAAGCTTCATCTAGGCAGGTCTTTTGCTTTTAAGGCTGCTGCACTTGTTCCCCTTAACGGGAAGCTTTGCATTATTCGTAATAACATGAGCATCAGTTTAGTCGATATTTCAAGTCCGGATAAACCTGTAGAAGGCAACCCTCACCTTTGGGAAAATATTGCTGGTAAAGGTCATTTCAGAACTCTCGTCTCAAATTTATGGTCAACTATAGCGGCCCGAACTGGTTTGAAGAGTCACATTGTACACTGTCAAGTGCTTCAAGCATGAGAACTGGCATTGACATTGCTTATGCTTTGTGCAAAGCAAGACTTCAGATAGGAAGCATTGAAGGTGTATCTGTAAATTCAAGGCAGTCATCTCTTGCAAGCGATGTGGTACGGGACTGGTGATGCTGGTTTCGGCAATAGAGTTACCGAGGCAGTTGGTCTCGACAATAGAATTATGAGGTCATTTCTTTACATTCATGAAGAGAGAGCAGATACATTTGTAAATCTTGTTATATTGGTCTAGGCCTTTTTGTCTTTTGCTATGGGGTTTTATGTTGCTAGTATGTAATCTTAGAGATGCTTTGTGAATATACATGGATGATTAGAGATCATTCAATATATACGTAATTTCATCTGTGGCTGTACTATTTTATTATTCATGAATGTGTAATCAAACCTTTTAGATATGATTTTGACATGCTTATATAATTAAAAATAGAACCATAAAGTGGTGGATTAATGGAAAACTTGTGTAAGACCAGGCCTCAACTTTATCAATGTTCCAGTCATTGTCTTTATTTATTTTGCTGGAACACCAATGTCAAACTTGTTATACGAGGCAAACACTGAGTAGATCAGCAAAGAACAAACAAATCCATATCCATGGCACCATCTTATTGACCTAAACCAGCAACACAACAACGACACAAGATTTTGAGTTATTTTTGTTCATACAATGGAAGAGACATATTTCAAACTCCATGAGCAATCATTTCCTGAAACCGTTTGAATGACTCTTCCCTTTGAATCTTTAGCTGGTTTCTGAACTTCTTGATGAAGGCATCAGCCATTTCATTAATGTCGCCTTGCTCATCTGCGGCATTCATCCTCCTGTTCACCGTTTGTTTCTTTGTACTTTCCTTCTCCTTTTGTATCCAATGGCTCTCACTGGCAGCAACCTCTCGACGAATATCCATTTACAGCAGATATATCAGAACAGAAAGCTCAACAACCAAAAGGGTTAACTTCTTGGTGCTGGATTTAGTGAGGGGTTGGAGAGAAATGTGCTTCAAACTCAAAGTTGCTTTGTGGTGTTTTGCAGTGAGCACAATGATGTATTTATAGCTACAATATCTCTAACTTAGAAGCATGAGTTTAATGTGCGTTTGAAGCAAAGGAAAGAAAGAGCAAAGAAGTAACCAAAGAGTAACAAGTTATGCTTATCGAATGGTGAAAAGCAATTTTATGCTTGTGAGGCCAAAGAAGGGCTACTATAATTAATTACTATATTCTATTGCTAAGTTGGTGGAAGAAATTAGTTTATTTTTCAAGGCATTTTATTTTGGTCTTGTATATTTGGATTCCCTCGTGGATAAGATGGATGATGGAGACCTTAATCATTAACTAATTTGGCCTAAATGGACGACCTAATCATAGTGCATTCTAATTCTTAATTAGTGTACACACTATGCGAGAGCCTACGCGTTATGGTAAATTATATTTTCAGTTTCAATATTATACCCATTATTGACTACAGGCTTCAACCATCCAAGACTATAAAATTGGTGTTATTTGTAGAGTTCACATTTGATAGTTTTAAGACATAATTATATATAATTTTAAATTAGATCTTAGGTTTGATATATATATATAAAATTTTAAATTTTCCAACTCACATGTCCTACGTATATTGGATGGAACACCAGCTGACTGGTGTACTCGGAATATGAAAAAAATTAGGAGAAATTCTTCAGTGGGACCGTCACACTGGTTTTATGAATCTGCTCGCATTAAAACATGAATAGGTAAATTTAAGAATAAGTATTCGTGGGTTCCTTAAGAAGCTAAACAATGACTGGCTAGGATATATCAATCTCTATCCAATGCATCATGTTTCAATTACAGAAACGGCTGTTCGCGCTGTATTTTTTCCCTTACAAAGTAAAGAAGAAAATAAGAAAGAAGAAATTAAAAGATCCACAAAATAATTTATTGACAAGCATGAAATTTACATTATATATTTACTCATTACTCACAAGGTTTACATCGGTGCCTGTAGTTGTGACACAGAGATAACACCACTCTCTCTCTCTCTCTCTCTCTCTCTCTCTCTGTTTTTACTACTGACAAGAATTCATATGCACATTTATTTGCTTATATTGGCTACTTGTATGGACGCAACTTGAAAAAGCAACAATAAGAAGCATAAAATGACTGCAAGAGGAGAACGAAAGATCTGCCGACTGTATTCTTCTTCCATGCAGTGAGTTCCTTGTGCGTTTTGCTCCTGCAAGAGTACAAATGCAGCCGTTAGTCCTCCAAAGATTAGCCTAAAATTCAACTTAGCAAGTAACACGTGGATCAGGTCAATGGAACAACTTTAATGAAGCAAGTCCAGTATGCAGTAGGGCCTTCAATAGACTAGTTTGAATTCAATCTAATTAGGCCTCAACACAAATGAAGGGGATTAAGAACCGAAAGCATTTAACTTCTGAATAGGAACATATCCTCTCTCTTTCAGTTGTCTTTGTATAAAGTTTTCTTTCAAACAGAAAACATATAGCTAGGAAGCTGCACAATGTTCATAGAGGAAAGGTTCTGAGTTTCATAATGCAAATTTTGTTTGGTTTTCATTCAAAACCTTGAAGGCCTTTTTATCTACATGTGGATATGTTTCTTTTTAAGGAATATGCGAATTGCGCATGCTGCTACAAATTATAACTCAGCATCAATCAATGGTGAAAAAAAAAACATTTTGAATACTATCTGCTTAAATTTGCTTGTGATGTTGACTGAGGCTAACTTGAAGGGGTTACAAGATTTTCAGCACTAAAGCTCCACCATATCTTCACTAAAACTGAGAAATGAAATTGCAATACCCTCTGTAGTGATAAACAGATTTTGGGCAACATTCGTACAAGGAGCAAAACAACACCTCAGAAGTGAACCACCTCAAAAAGAACTTTTCATCTGTAATTTGAAGTTCCTGTACCAGGCAAAGGCCCAACATAGGGTTGATATCTTCATTCTTTCGACTTGACCTGAACTGTCAAAATTTGAGCACAACATATAGGAGAAATGGCCCTAAGAATTAGAGCATAGATAGTAGTGAGACAGAGAAAGAGGATTGGAGCAAGAGTTGGGATTCAGAGCTCAAGTGCATTCATATGGCCTCCGCCAAAAATTGTGCAAACACACAAGCCTGCATCTTGGAACCTTATGGACGCAAGGAATGTGAGATTCCAAACTCTGGAAATTCAGCTTAGGAGTAACTCACCTCACCTACGTACTTTTGGCAGATATCATCACCTTATATAAAGCCTTGATCTTTCTGGAGCTTGACTATTATTATCATAACCTAAAGGAAATGGAAACTAAAGACATAAGATATCTCATATCAAACTGACTACAAGAAGGGCAAATGATCCTTTTGTTGGTCTAATTAGCCTAACGTATAATCAACAACCATAACCATAATCTTTATTTTCCTTTAGTTTGATGCGATTATTGTCATCAATGGCCTAAAAGGAATGAAGACCGACTGAATCCCTCTTGAAAGTCTACTGCAATATTGGTACCCAGAAAACCAAAAATCTTCAAAGTCCTTAATTAAATCAACGACATGTAAATATCAACAGCATCTCAAACTTCTCCTCTACAATTCATCTTACGAGGATCAAACAACCACACAAAAAAAAAAAGTCACAACTCGAAGATAAATAAAAGGTTTACTGTGAGTGATGAAGAGAAACCAGAAACAAAAAATTCAACCTTTCCCATTTGATTCATACAAAAACAATGAAGGCAATGTTTTTCTTTTTGTTTCTTTTAAGGAAAGAAAATTACCTCAGATTGAGTCCACATAAGTTCCTTGGCAGGCCTTGCTTTTACATACAGGAATATCCTCAAACTGTTTAGCAGGCAGTTTCTCAGACAAAGCTCCAACATAAAACTCAACGGAGTCAGATCCTTGATCAACCTGAATCCCAGTCACAGAGACCCAAATGAAAAGCTTCTTCGCTTGAATCCCAGACACATCAGACACTGACCCGTAACTCAGTTTCCCTTTAATATTCTTGTTGTAGTAAACCAACTGATCAAAGTGCACGTAACATGGGCTTTCAAGATAGATCTCAAAGCTGCCATCTTCAGAGAGAGTGTAGGAATTTACGTTGTCTGGTAACAGACCCTTTGGGAGGCCGTACTTAGGGAGGAGGTCATGAACATCTGTGATTGATTGGGCTATGGTGGATGGACGGTTAGGATCGGATTTGAGGTCCCTGAGAGATAGACCGAAGCGGGTTTCTGAGAAAAAGGTTAGAATTAGAAGGTAGAAAGAGATCTGAGCGATGGAAGATGCCATTGATGCAGAGCTCTATGGAAGAGAAACAGAGGTGAGAGCTTGACTTTGGGAAGAACAGAGAAGGGAGAGAGACGCAATTTAGAAGAAACTTGAAGGGTAAAATGGGAAGATAAATTTGTTCTATTATTGGACCTTTTGGCAGTTGGTAGGTATTTCTTTGTTGGAGGGAAAATTCCAAGCGCCTTCGTTAGTAACTTCACCCCAACAACAATGGTTCTTGTGGATCCAACGGCTCCAAATTCCAACCAACATCTATACAACACATAGAAAGACTCCAAAAAATAGGAGAGCCTACAGGAGGATCCGGGCAAACATTTGAAAGGTAGAACATAAAAGAATAGAGCCAATGTAGTTGATGTATTTTCTATAGTTCGGCAACCTAAGATGTTTATATTTCGACCATGAATTTTCTGTTATTTGCCATTTGATTAGAATTTTATATATATATTTATAAGATCTGATTATTAATGTTGCAGAATTGCAAAATCAAAACTTTTGCATACACTATTGTTGCTGTTTAGTAGTATAAATGTATAAAACATACAAAATACCAAACTGGAAGAATAAAGAGCAGTTCCTTTTGGCCAATACAGAGCAGCAGTTCCAAAAATATAAGAACTGCAAAGACTTGACTGACTCCTATAATAAAATAAACCACACAATATAGTTGTTGTTTCTTCTTAGCTCTCTTCAAATTCTCATGATGAATGTACAGTCTCTGAACATGAGATCTTGAAAATGCAATTCTACACTAAGACATATTAAATACTGCTCTTATGTTTGCAAAGCAAAGTGTATTTCAGCAAATACAGTTGCTGAAATTTTCGTTTTGCCAAGAATAAATTTACTTGAAGAAATTAAAAGAAATATGCAGGGGCTGATTCAATACAGTGCAGTACTTGTCTATGTTAGCCATTGACGGATGGACTCACTGTGAGACACACATCAATCAATGGCTAGCATTCTCCGAAGAAAATCGAAGGCATATATATATACAAGGCTGATTGATCTATACAGTGAAGTCCTTGTCTGCAATCCTAATTAATTATTTCTTTGAGTCTTTGAGTCTTTGTTTATTTGCTCTACCATTTGGAGTCAAAGACTCAAACATTAAAGAACTAAAGAAGACTTTGAAGTTTTCGCAGGCAAAATCATAATTTAAAGTACTACAGAAAAACCATCCAAGAACTTGTATGGCCAACATGTCTAGTCGCGTGTGTGACTAAGGAATCTTGAAATGTGTTGTTTTGCAGTTTTATGTCAACACCTTAAGTGACTTGTGGAAATATAGCCCTTTATTCATATAAAGGAGCCATGAATTTTCCGTGAAAATGAAATAATATATCTCTCTTGGTCATCTTCTTCTTCTTTTTTTCCATCCTCTCTTGGTCGTCTTGGCTTTGCTCCTATGTTCTGACTTTTTAGTGTGCTCCATTGTTTATAAAAACTTGTGAGCAATCTACCTCTAACATAAACAAGACACATCCACGAAGAAACATGTTATTGCAGCTTGGTCATCTAATGCTTCAGGGCTTCCTTCTCATCCTCTTATTCTCTTCCATCATATATACCAACATTATTCATGCATGCGACCAAACGGAACACAGCTCTCTCTGGTTCTTCAGCCTCGGTCTGTCTTCTCCTCTTTTAAATTGGACTTCCCTTAATTGTTGCCATTGGGAGGGCATCACTTGCAATCAAAATGGTTGGGTCACCAGTTTGCACTTACCCTCAAAAGGGCTCCAAGGAGATAATTTTTCCTCGTCACTAGGAAAACTGACACATCTCGGCTATCTGAATCTCTCCCGCAACTCACTTTACAGTTCACTACATCAATCTCAATTTTTCTTGTCCTTGAATAGTCTTGAGATCCTTGATTTGAGTTATAACCTTCTTTCAGGAGAGCTACCAGTTTCCCTACCATCCAGAAATATGATCCGGGTGGTTGATTTGTCCAGCAACCACTTCCAAGGTTCAGTACCATCTTCATTCTTTGAACAAGCTGGGACATTGACTAGTTTCAGTGTCAGAAACAATACCTTCTCAGGTTCTATCCCATCCTCTATTTGTCTTCATTCATCTCCCTTCATTAGGCTATTGGATTTTTCTTTCAATAAATTCAGTGGCAATATATCTTCTGGACTAGGGAACTGTCTCAAATTGCAGGTTTTTCGTGCTGGTTACAATAACCTCTTGGGATTACTTCCAGAAGATATGTATGATGCTACCACACTGGAAAAAATTGCATTGCCTGTTAATTCACTTTATGGAGTCATTAGTGATAGAATCGTAAACCTCACCAATCTCACAGTCCTCGATCTCAGCTCTAACGGTTTGAGTAACATGCTCCCTATTGATATTGGCAAGCTCTCGAACCTGAAATTCATGCTTCTTCATACCAACAAACTACAAGGTTTGCTGCCCCTGTCGTTGATGAATTGTACTAATCTTATAGAGTTGAATCTGAGATTCAACAACTTTAAAGGAGATATCTCTGCACTTAATTTCTCCAAATTTAGTCAGCTTACTAAACTTGATCTAATGAGTAATAACTTCACTGGCATCTTGCCCATAAGTCTTTACTCATGCAAGTTCCTCAAAGCAATTCGACTGAGCTATAACCGTCTAGAGGGACAAATACAACCTGAAATTATTTCATTGAAATCCCTGTCCTTTCTCTCGATGGCTCATAACAGACTAACCAATGTCACAGGGGCAATGAAGATATTGATGCATTGCAAAAGTCTCGTATTCCTGTCATTTGCATACAGTTTTCTGCGTGAGGAAATGCCATCTGATGATGGCATGGTTGAATTTTTCGGTTTCCAACATCTTCGAGTTTTGGATTTGAGTTATTGTGAGCTCACTGGTCCAATACCTGTATGGTTATCTAAGCTTAAGAAGCTACAGATGTTGAATCTGACTCATAATAGGATCACAGGGTCAGTTCCTAGTTGGTTGGCCACTCTTCCAAGCCTCTTTTACATAAACTTGTCAGTCAACCTACTTACAGGTGAATTTCCAAAGGAACTTTGCAGCCTTCCCATGTTGGTGTCCGGACAACCTGCAGGTCAAGTAGATCATGAGTATCTTGAATTGCCTATATTTGCACAATCCCAGCTTCGTGCAGAAAGTTTAGAGTATAATTCTTTGTCTTATACCCAATCGTTACAGTACAACTATGCGTCTTACTTTCCACCATCCATATACCTACACAATAATAGCATCAACGGAAACATACCGAAAGAGATAGGCCAATTGAAGCTTCTCCATGTGTTGGATCTTGGTGTCAACAACTTCTCCAGCAGCCTTCCAGACCAAATATCTAACCTCAAAAAGTTGGAGACGTTAGATGTCTCCATGAATCATTTGTATGGAAACATCCCAGTGTCATTGACGAGCCTCAATTTCTTGAAAGATTTTAACTGCTCATACAATAATCTGGAAGGACCAATACCAAGAAGCACTCAGCTCCAAAGCTTCAATGCCTCTGCATTTGAGGGGAATCCGAAACTTTGCGGTTCCCCACTTCCAAATGAGTGCAGGCCAATTAATGGTGTTGGCACAGATAATAAGAACAATCAAGATGAGCATAATGGGCATAATATTCCATGGTTTCATATTTTCGTTGTGTCTAGGTTCATTGTAGGATTTTGGGGATGTGTTTGGTACTTTAATGCTTAAGGAGACGTAGAGATATGCATCTTTCCAGTTTCTTTTTTCCTTATGTAAGGCACTGGTTGATCTCGTAATGGCATCTTCTTTTTCATTTGAGACTATTCTTTAAGTTGAATGAAACTAACTAAAGTACAGATTGAGATCAAAATGGGAAATGATTTCGTTATTTTTTCGCTTAACTTTTATTTTTGAAAGGAATCAAGTTACTCAGAAGTTGCTCATAATTTCATAAAGGAAAGTACTTCACACGTCCCGGATTTAGATTGAAATGGGAGTGAGCTCAACATCAATAGACTGTGGTATACACAGAGAGTCATCTTTCAAAGCAAGGGAAGCTCCAATTGGAAGATGTACAAAATACTGATATGAACTGCCAAGAAATTATGTACACACACACACACACACACACACACACATATATATATATATATGTTATACTATGAGAAGTTGAGTACACTGCCATTGCTTGGTGATGGTGATAAAATCTGTTTGCTTAAGTTTAACAATCTTCATATCTGAGGTGACAAGCACTTTCTTTATACACTAATTGTTAGGAAACTATAAGATGGTATGCAGGGGCTTATTCAATTTCAATACATTGCAGTCCTTGTCTGTATAACTGTATCACCCATTAATTAATGTGGGATTCACTGTGAAGCTACATCAACTAAACATAGAAAGTCGAGGCTGATTAGGTATATTATATATAATATAAGTCCTTGTCTGTAAATCTTTATTATTTCCTACATTCTTTGACTCTTTGTTTCTCTATAAGCCTGAGTTATCTATGTGTTAATGGATCATTGTAAAACCTTCTAATCTATCAAACCAGAAAACGTACCAACTCTAGCATTCTCAAACAAAACAAAGAACAAAAAAAAGAAGGTATGCAGGGGCTGCAGATTCAATACAGTGCAGTACTTGTCTATGTGAGCCATTGGTTGATGGACTTACTGTGGGACTCACATCAATTGACGGCTAGCATTCTCCAAAGAAGAAAGAAGGCATACCAGGCTGAGTCTATACAGTGAAGTCATTGTCTCTGCAATCCTTCTAATTAAACATTTCCTCCAGTCCTTGACTCTTTTTTTATTTTCTCTGTTCCATTTCAACTCAAAGACTCAAACATTAAGGAAAGAAAGAAGACTCTGAAGTTTTTGCAGCCAAAATCATAATTTATATGCACCAGAGGAAAACCATCCAAGAATTTCTACGGTCAACAAGCCTAGTTGTATCTGGGGATTAGATAAGCTTGGAATTACACATAAATAAGTAGCTTGCGAAGAACATGCTTTATTTTTAAGATTTTATGTCAAAGTCTCGAGTAGCTTGTGGAAATAGAATATCTTATCTTTATTTATGTAAACCAGCCATGAATTTTCCAGGACAATGATATATTGTCCCTTCCTTATTCTTATTCTTATTCTTGGCTTTACTTCTAAGTT